AAGAAAGAGGAAAAAGGAGAAAAATATCAGCCATCCTTATCCAAATTTCTACCCTTTTAAGTCCCTCAAGTTTTGAAATATTCACATTAGGCCCCAAAACAATCTTTTCTCACAATCAAGTCCCTAACTTAAATGACAAAATTCCCGAAAATTTGGGATATTGTTGGCCATTAGTGCGTAAACAGTGCTCTGTGAACAGTGCTCACACCGTGAACAGTACTGCAACTTCCAAAATTGGCCAAAACACTAGTTAATCTCACAGGATTTTCTCTCCAAAAATCACAGCAGTCTCAATTAACTGATTTTCTACATGAATTAAGCAAAAACACACTTCAAATGCTCTTAATTGCTACCGGAATTCCTCCCATTTTTCCAGCAAAATTTGGACACACAAGGCAGCAAATAAATGGACAATTTCGGGGCTTAAAGGGCTACCACATACCAGAATCCAGCAAGCAAGGCCAGAGCTGCAATTTGGGGAAGAGCCGGCGTCATGGGAGGAAAATTCTGCAGGGGACTCACGGGTTTAACCCAAAATTAAAGGAACCCAACTTAAATCAAAGCTAAAAGAATGAAATCATGGCTGTTTCTTACCTAAAAATCAAAGCAATTCGCCCCCCACAAAGCAGGAGCAGCCGGCGGTGAAGAGGAGGAGCAGAGCAGATCTGGAAATTCCAGCAGGGGGAGAAGGTTTCTAAGCTCCTAAATCTTGTTCTTGAACAAGAAAGGAAGGAGAAATTTCAAGTTTCTTACCGGTTTTTTTCTTCATGGGAAGGCTATCAGGCTTGGGGGGCTTTGCCGGCTGCAGGGGAGAAGAAAAGAAGAGCAGACGCGCGGGTGAGGAAGAAAAGAAAGAAGAGAAAAAGAAAAAGAAAGAAGCTGATCCTTATCCAATTTCTTTCTCTTTTAAGTCCCTCACTTTTGAAATTTTGGCTATTAAACCCCAGAATAATATTTTCCTCACAAGTTAGTCCCTAACTCACACTTAAATATTCTAGAAAATTTTGGGGTATCACATCCACCCCTCCAAAAAAGAAGTTTTGTCCCCAAAACTCAAATTGAGGACCATCTAGACTGGTGAATGGCTTCACCCAATCCAAGGCAAAACAAATGCTCCACCAACTTTCCATGATCACAACCTAGCCTACTACGCTTCCGTTGCGCCACTCTAATAACAAATCACAACAAATCTCAAAAGCAGGAAATTAATTACTTAACAGGATTTACCATAAAACAAGCTACTAGAGGCTGGGGTGATATGGGGAAGCATAAGGAATAAAAATAAATCCTGCCAAGACTACAAAAGGACAATTGTGGGGTTACGCTATGAACCCAACACAACAATGAGTTGGCAAAGAATGGCATGGATTTAAAGACGAGTACAACAAAATTTGAACTCTATCAAAGACGGATAGGCATCCAATGGATATATGGATCATGAATGAATGAACGAGTGCATAGATGCCTTATAAATTCTGCCACAAAACAAGGTTAACCAATAAGCAAGGTCATGTTTAACAAAGCAACTGGAATCAAGAAACATATTTTAGCAATTAACAAGAGTTAAAAGTTAGGACCATCAAAAGACATGTAAGAATCTCAAGAATTGCAACAGAATAAAATCAATGGAAAATATGAATGCTTGGAAGAATACTGGAACATAAGAGTGCAAGGTAGAATGTCTCAAAAATTCAGCAACAAAACGACATTCACCAAGAATCAAGATCAAATTTAACCAAGCAGTCAAAATTGAGAGACAAGAGTTAACCATGAAACAAGCAATAGAATTCAAGAATTAGGCCCACAAAAGAGATTTCAATAATGACAACCAGAACACGGATTCAAGAGCAGATATAATCAAGATGTCAAGATCTAACACCCTAAGTAACACGAATTAATTAACAGAATAATCAATAGTGGGGATCAAGATACTTAGAAGATTATTGTCTTCTAATTAAAAGGGCAACCAAAAATCAAAACAGCCAGATAAAAGAATCATTTCTCTTGGAACAAAACTCTAGGGCATCAAGTACTTCAAAGACTACCCCTTCACCTCGTAGCCCATGAATGCTAAGCAGATTTACAATCAAGTCATCCTAGAGTCAAGTCAAAGCTAAGATATCAAGAATACAGAGATTAACACTTGCAAGAGACAAGAATTAGAATGCCTCATATAGGTATTTTCTAATAATCATCACCCTTCCTAAAGAGGTGTCCATATGAACAAAATCAAAAATCAAGAAGATCAACAAGTATACTAAAACAAGAACTAGCAGAATATGTAGGATTGAGCAAGAGTAGTATACAGAATTTGAGCAAGAGCAGTATACGGAATTTGAACAAGAGCAGGGGTCAGGACAAGAATGGTTTTCAAGGATAACTCAAAATAGATTCCAAGAACCAAATATCAATTGATTTTCAAGAATAGATTCCAAGAACAATATCAGTCGATTTTCAAGAGTAAAATTCCAACAAGAATTAATTTCAAGCAAGGTTTACGAACCGATTCCAAGTACAATGCCAGAAACAGTTTCAAGAAGTAGTTTCAGACAAGTATCAAGATAATGAGGATTTCAATAATCATTATCCATTTCTAGATTTCAGTTTCAAGAACAAGTACAAAGCAATCTCAAGAAAGATTCAAGATGGATTTCAAGAGTTTCAAGTAGTTTCCAGGTATCAAGAATGTAGAGATTGGCAACAATAGAGAGTTTAACTTTATGACAACTTGCCAATCTTCACAAAAACAAGGCAATTTCAATTGAATTGATCACTGCTTTTGATTAACCAATATGGAAAAATGAGCCACATGAAAAGACCATGAAGCTCCAAATGGAAAAAATGAAACTTCATTATAGGACTTTCAGAAAGATAATGAGCAGCAAAATTACCAAGCTATCCAGCTCCTAAAACGCATCTAGAAAACACACAACATTTGCTAAAATAGCCTTGAATCTCTTACAAAGTAGAGGGTTTCCCATCTTCCATTGGTCATGTGATAAACAGAATAAATCTCTCAACCAGCTTTACTGTAGAGACCAACAGGATCAATAACAAAGATCTCTGCAACTCCCCAGATTTTACAATTGTGTCAAAAGAGCATACAAAAATTCTATTCAAGTAACAAATCTAAATAAGTACAGACTATCAGAAAATGACCAAGTTTCAAAACAAGATCTTAAGAACATGACGGATAAGATTAATTTCATGAATCTACATAGGGTATGAAGGCAGGAAACAAGAACAATCAGATTACCATCTCATCAAAATGGATTAGAAAATTCAAGCAACATGAATCAGAATCGTCCCTTATATAACCCCATCACTCGTCTCACCACGATTCTAAAATCCATTGGCTAGCCAAGTCCAAAACAAATTCTAGGTATTCAATTAAACCTAGGTATTTAATTAAATCTAAACTCGATATCACTCAATCTGCTCTAATGCCACTCAATTTGGAGGTGCTTAATTTAATCCAAAACTCTTAATTTCAACCTAAGCTCTGATATCACTAAATCTGTCATGCCCTCGAATCCAAATCCGAGGACGTGGCAGACGCCGTGCACTCGTGAGAGGGTCCCACAAATGCACAAGGCTTGGAACTTATCATATCACAATCTGATATCACTCTACAACTTAAATCAAACATCTCAATTTATTTCTATATCCAAAATGACTTAAATCCAAGTAATTGATCTAATGATCGAAATCTGTTTTGATCTCATAAATTCAAGGTAAAATCTATCTTACAAAAGCATGATTTATTTCTAAAATCTATATCAATCTCGAAATGGCTAGCCTTCTAACTCGTTACTTCCCATGGTTTCCCCGTCCTCGGTTTCGCTTCCTAAAATGGTGGACAAGGAAAAACTATGAGATAAACTCAATAAGTAAATTTATGGTAATGCCCGTACAGTTTTTAAAAGCATGTTTTGACTTGTTTTTGAAGTGGTGGCAGGACTAAACCCGTTTTACATAAGTATTGATCGATTTGAAATGAAATTATTATTCTTTTTATTGATTTGAGCATGCCTACTTGGAATTTACTTCACTGCCCTGATAAATTGAGAATTTTGTGAATTCTAATTTTTCTGTTAAATCCATGCCCACATGGAAATTTTCTTGTTTATTTCTGAAATTTGAGATTGATTGTGAATTATGATTTTCTTGTTAACTGCTGCATGTTTTGTCTCCGATATGGTCATGTTTTACTGTGCCCGCTAGTGGGAGGTTTATAAACGCTAGCACATGTCGACATGTTACTGATAGAATCGGTTCGTTTCTGTTATCTTGCTAGTGGGATTATACACTAGTAAATCGTGTGCTTGTCAGTGGGAGGTTTATAACACTGGCCATGACCTATAAAGGAGATGTCTATTTCGTTCCCGTATTGTATTCGTTTTTCGTGATTGCACTTGTTGGCATGCTATAAGTTTAATAAGGGGCACTCCATATTTTACTTACTGAGTTTATCTCATAGTTTTTCCTTGTCCACAATTTCAGGAAGCGAAATCGAGGACAAGGAAACCACAGGAAGTGACAAGTTAGAAGGCTAGCCATTTCGAGATTGATATAGATTTTAGAAATAAATCATGCTTTTGTAAGATAGATTTTACCTTGAATTTATGAGATCAAAATAGATTTCGATCATTTGATCAATTACTTGGATTTAAGTCATTTTGGATATAGAAATAAATTGAGACGTTTGATTTAAGTTGTGGAGTGATATCAGATTGTGATATGATAAGTTTCGAGCCTTGTGCATTTGTGGGACCCTCTCACGAGTGCACGACATCTGCCACGTTCTCGGATTTGGGTTCGGGGGCGTGACACAAAGAAAAGAATCAAAGGATTAAAGTTTCAAAGATAATAACTCACAAACTTTTCCAAATTTGTAATTTGGCATATAAATTTTCAATAAAGAATTTTTATTGTGTACAATAACATGATACACTATAGATTAAATAACATGAATTTATCATTTAAATATATCATATGAAATGTTTGAAGTAAAAGACTTATTCAATGTACCACATTGAATTTTTGACAACAATATTAGTACAAATAACAATATTAAGAAGTCATCATGGTTGGTTTATATTTGAAAATTTTGACTCCCTTATGTGAAGCATTTTGTTGTACGTGAAAAAATTTATCCATGTAGAGAACTAGATAATTCACTTTGAAGATTATAACTATTCTTCTTTTGCCATTTTTGTTTGGACATTCAAAAATCCTTGCATAGCAAAATATAGAAAATTACTCAAACATGACATTACATATTTACATTCTTCTAAACATTGTAATATAAAAGTAAACTCACCTTTTTTTCATTGTTCTTTGCACTTTTACTTTCTTGGGAGTTAGACACTACATCTCTCACATTAAAAACAATTCTTGGATGTGAAGGGTATCATTTATTTATTTATTTATTTTGCATTTGTAGGATTCAATCATTAAAAATTAGAAAAAAAAATAGTATCATTTCATATGTGCTTTAAGGTTAAAGAAACAACTAGACACATCAGTAAAATAATTTTAACCACCAATATTTGTTTCTTGAAGTTATGATCATTTTTGTGAAAGCATCTCCTCTTATTAGGGCCATGTAAACCGCACACTGAACAAGTCATTTTGATAACTTTTCTGAAGAGGCTTTCAACATCCCCATTTCTAACTTTCTTTTGTCTCATGTGCTGGTTTCATTCATTTCACTTTTGGTCTTCCTATGTTCTTCCTCAATGGTGGTGGCTTAAACCTGACACCCTTGTATAGCCTCCATGTCTCAAGCTCTTTGATGCAATTAATGGAATACTAGTATGCTTTAAGATATGCATTCCTTTTATACTAATACTACACTTTAGTTACTTCATCAACCATATCGATGTAATCAAGCTTGTTAGGATCTTGTTTGTTATTTTCAATCTTCTCAATTCCAACATATTTGACCATAAGATACCATATTGAAGTACCTCCATAATGTGTAATCAATATAATTAATCCTTCAATACTACAACAATAATAAAAATTAAATAAAAAAATTCTATTTAACTAAACACTAATCAACACATGGCATATCCCACCACCACACAAACACCAGTAAACAACACTTTTATTGCACTTATAAATTACTGAATATGATAAGTTTTCCAAAATTGTGCCTACCACTGTGAGATTTTGTATTAACTTGGAAAAAAAAAATGTTATAATGCATGACCAAATATTTTGGAAAGGGATGGAGATTCAATTTGTGACTAACACGCTATAGGCTATGGACAAATATTGTGCCTTTTGTAATGGACAAAAATTGTTATTAAAAATTGTGCTTCAAGTTTATGGTAGGACATAACAGCGGACGAAAAAGTGGAGGGATCTTAAGATGGATTGCAAAGGTTAAGTACCCCTTGTACTCAAACTAATAATAATATTGTTATTTAAAAAAAAAAAAGAGAATAAAATAAGCAGTTCTCCCTTAACATTATGAAAAAAACAAATAAAAAGGTCTCATGTGATCCGTTATTCTTCAAAATTGTGTGGTTATCTCAATCTAACATGAAGAACATAGCTGGAGTTTGAATTTTCTATATTTTTTGTTTTTAGAATGGTGTGAGAATGTTACTATTCTAATTGTCAAAAAATTATTTTAGAGGGATTCTTTCTACTATTTCAATCTTCTTTTAGGATTTGTTTACTAATTTATTTTGCCTAATTTTACTTAATTTTTCCTAAAGCCCATTAACAAAATTTGGAAACCTTGACATGGGTTTTGTTTCGACACCACATGTTCAATGTCGAGACCATGTGTTAAAAATTCAAGAATTTTTTTCAACTAAAGATTGTATTTAGCTCCTATCTTATTAAATTTAAAGTTTTTAACTCCTTACATTATATTATAAAGTTTTTATCCTCTAAACTTAAAGGTTTGAAAATTTTAACCCTTAAACTAACGAGATCTATTAACTCTTTGTTAAAGTAAAAATAAAATATTTATATAATCAATTATCAAAGATTAAAAATGTAATAATTTAGTTCCATGAGTTTAAAATTAAAAAAGTTAGTAAATTAAAAATAATTAGCAAATGATTTTATCACATACATGATAACAGTATTAGATATTTACAATCAAATCAATCTATTAGCTCGATTTAAAAAAAGAAATCTAATAGATACTAAAGAAATTTTCTTGGTTAAATTAAGATAGAAAGTATAGAAGACCAAAGAAATTCAACTGAAATTTTTTTTTTTTTTAATTTTAATCAAATTTCTTTTAATTTTAATTGGATTTCTTTCTTTAAATTGAGTTAATAGCTCAATTTGATTATAGATATTTACTACTGTAGTTGTGTATATGGTAAAGTTATATATTAATTATTTTTAATTTACTTATTTTTTTAATTTTAAAATTTTGGAACTCAATTGTTATATTTTTAATCTTTAAGGACTGGTCTTATAAATATTTTGTTCTCACATTAATGGAGAGTTAACAAATTATGGTAATTTAAGGTCAAAATTTTCAAATCTTTAAATTCAGGGTTAAAAACTTTAATTTTAATAAAGGAAGAGGTTAAATTCATATTTTAGTAATTTTATCACGTGAAATACATAAGTAATGACACCTATATTGTGGTGTTGACACTTATGCTTCATTGTCCAAATCACCAAGTCAGAAGCTACCTATCAATTTTTTGACATGTCAACAATTTAGTGGGTACCACAAATGGAATTTGTTTGCCATGTCAATGTTGACATTCAATTAATTTTTGAATAGTAAAATAAAAAATGTAGTATTCTTGATTTAGAAACTTTTAAAAAATGATAATCTTAATTAGTTCAAAAAAAATGCAATACCCTTAATTAAATTTTTTTAAAAAAGTAATGTCCTTATATGCCTAAAATCTCTAATTAATTTGAAACAAATGTTTTGAAATAGAGGGAATACTAAGGTTATGTTTGGGTTGATTTTTATAGCATTTTTTTCTTACGATACCTTATAAATATTAATTTATTATAATTAAATAAATTTTTATTAATATTTTGTATAATTTAGTAGTTATATTAATGTGTAAAACTCTTTTCAAAATAATTATCAAGTAATAACATAATTTTTTTTTTAGTAAAATATTAAAAGAGCTATAGTCATAAACTTAAAGCATTTCCTAACAATTCTAAATATAACATAAATTTTGAGTAAAAAAACAACTGTTGTTTTGGAAAAGAGACAACAATAACAAAACTAACATGCATGCCAATAAAGCCTAAGACTTAGATCCACTCTTATAAACTAGATCTAAATTTCAATGTTTTGGGGTCAACCCATGTTGATACAAGGTGTTCGCCATTAAATTCATCTAAAATATATTAATAGATTACTTTTAAGGTACGTTAAAAGCTACCCTAGGTATATTATAAACCTAATACCAAAAAAAATAAATAAATAAATAAATACATGTCAATATGACAACATGATTGATGCAAGTAAAATGGATAATACATTTTAATAAAATGGCATTGTTTGTTTAAGCCCAGATTGACAAATTTCTTAGAACTTCATACTAAATTTCGATTTCCTCCTTTTAATTTACTGTTGGTAACCATGGTGGATAATACAAATCATGAGAATTTGTGAATTTTTGGGAGTCCAACCATATCAAAAGGCAGGTGACAACACCAATACTCCACGACATAATGGAATATGTGAAAGAAGGAATCACACATTCATGACAATCAAAAGAAGCGGAATGCACAAAGAATTTTGGGTAAAATGTGTTAATTAAAGCATCCATATACTGAACAAAAATTCAACATTTTAAGTTTTGTCTTAATTCCAAAACATGATGCATAAAGAAGTTTATAATGGCAAACGAGACCAGCTAAAGACCATTTCCAAAATTTTTTGGTATATAACATATGCCATTATGCGTAACCAGTATAACCAGAATTGGAGTTTGCATGATAATTATGAGAATTGTGTTTGTGTTGTTGTTATTAGAAGATTACTTTTATGAAGACAATATATGGGAATGAATGGTAAAATAGCTTGCAAGCCATTATGAAGAAACTTTGATAATGAAGATAGTACGTGACAAGAAAATAGAAGATTGTCTTAGATCGAGCAGTTTCAATACTGGCAAGAAGTAGAAAGCCTACCAGAAATGACTATCATAACTTGATTTCTTGTTTAGTTTTTATTATAAATTTTTTTATGAAAATATAAAAATTAAAATTGTTGAGAAAATTAAAAAGAAAAATCATATAAAGTCAAAAAATATATATAAAATAAAAAATATAAAAAATTATTTCTTAATGAAAATTTTTTAGATTCTTTTAGATTTAAATAAACAATTTTAACACAGATTTTATGAGTAATGATAAAAAGGACAAGAAATTTAGAGTTAATAATGTGGTAAAAGTCACATTATTAAATTAGTTAATGCATAAAGTATCATGGATCCAAATAAATAAAAAAAGTTAATAATTAAATAATATAAGATTCACCTTTTAATATTTTAAATAACATGTTTTATATCACATAAATGGTCCCAATTTTAGTCCCAAATTTTGGTCCTACTTATTATATTTTATACATAACCTTGATTATTCATTTTTATATTATGAATAGTTAAAATTTATTATGATTTTTTAAATTAAAAAAGATAATTATTTTTAAAAAATAAGAATAAAATATAAATATCAACTATTTATTAAAAAAAATTCTGATTAAAATGTTATATAAATAATATATGTGAAAATTATATGCAAGTGGTTGCAAATGGACCTATCTCATTCTTTTATTTTTATGCCTCTAGATTTATTTGCATCAGAAGAAATTAGACCTGGCAAACGGGCGGGTTGGGTTGGGTTAGGGTCGGGTTAGAATGGGTAACAGGTCAAAACGGGTTGGGTTAAAACGGGTCACAGGTCAATGAAGGCAGATCCTAACCCGCTTATCACGGGTCACAGGTTAACCCGTGAGTTGACCCAATTAAATTTTTTTTCTATTTTTTTCTATAATTTGTATCTATTATCATTCAAAGAAAATTATTCAAAAGATTTAAAAAAGGAATTTAACATCTTATAAAAATAATTTTTTTATTAATTTAATATATACATATTTATAATTCTTCAGAATCACCTTCTTTATTTCCCTTTAAAGAACAACGCTAATCAAATTCAAGAACATAACACTTATAAATCTCAATAG